GCATTGTATTATAATAACAAAAAATTGTAAGTTTTTTTTTAAAACCATCCGCACATCTATTATTTATTATCGTATTATAATAACAACAAATTTCATATGCAAAGTTTAGTAATATTTTTCTCTTTTAATATCCCCAGATCTGTTATCTCTTGAAATATATATTCATGTCAATACAATAGCTTGTAACAATGTCAAATTGTTATGCTTCATCCATGTTTTCATCTTGATCTGTTCGCTAACATTTATTAACTCTTAATTAAAGATAATCTTTATTGAATTTATATCGAATGCATAGTGTACGTAATAGAGCACCCTGTGGCTATGCAATTTGATGGGCAATAAATTTTAATAAAACATTTGCATTTGGCTGGAAATTCAGTCTAAATGGGTGTAGCCACCCTCGCAATTGGAAGTACGGCAAACATTTCGTTTGCCATTTTTTTTTGTTATCATTTAACGTTATTTTGTTTTTGTGTTTATATCTTTTTTTTTTTTGTTTTTTTTTTGCATAAATTTAGCGGGCGGCAGTTGTGCAAACAGAACTCAAAACTCAAAGTCTGGGGAGAGAATATAAATGGCCATGCCAAACTTCTCTTAATAAATCGCTGATAAATCGCCCGCAAGTATCTCAAACGATTTCGACACGCGTTTTTCTTGTTCTCTTGTTTCTGCGCTTTTTTTTATTATTTTTTTTGAGTATATATCGTTTTTTATTCACATTTCTGAGGCATTCATCATAAGGTTTGGGACTCGAGCATCGAGTGAATCCGAAACCGAAAATCCCAAATGCCTTTGTCTTTTCGTCAACATGTCACAGCCACTAAACATCAATAAGTTGGGCTTTTATTGATTTCGCGTTGTCTGCCTTTTTTTACAGCTCATCTTTGTGCGGAGTTTTTAGGGGGATTTCGTGTTTGATTTCTTATTTTTTATTGAGCATTGGCCACAATTAATTAGCTAAATCTGCATTTTGCATAAATTACAAATATAATATTTTCATATTTCAGTTTCCAGCTTTTTCGGCTATTGTATTTTTGTCTCCTCTTTTTTTTGTGGGCCAATAAATCAAGTCTCAGGTTGTTTTTTTTTTTGTGGGCCACCGCCAAAGTTCTTGCCGATAATTTATTTAGGTGACTTTGAATGATTTTAGCGGTGAGTTTCAAACGGAGTTGGCATTCTAAACTAGTTTCGCTTCCCTAAACTAATCACTTTGGCTACTGTTCACAGATGCTATCGATAAGACGGGATAGAAAAGGTCTTTAAAAAACCTTTATTTGATGAGAATCAAAAAATAATGTTTAAAGTTGTACGTTTTTCCATCTCTATTAAAAGAAATAAAATGATATTTAAAAAAAAAATTGTACATACTTCAAAATAAATTTATATGAAAATTGTAAGTCATTTTGTATTTATTCTCAAAACAATGACTTAAAAATGAACTGTTTAAATTAAAAAAAATAGTAACCACTCTTCTTGCAATTTTAATACAATTTTTTTCATAAATATTCAATTTAATAAACTATTTAAAACAGCGAATAAAACATTTTTGGTTGTACGTACTTGGTTGCAAAATGATGCAGCAACATGAATGAATAGCATTTGTAAGGCATTTATTATTTAAACTCAGTGAAATAAAAATAACTGTTTAAATGTTAAAAATTAAATAATTAGAAATAATTCAAAAATTCCTTGCTAAAACGTAGAGAAATTTTTAAAGGTACGAAGCCTCGAAAAATAAGTCATACGAAAACGATTCCATTTGGCCAATTTGCAATTGTCGAGCAATTAAATAGGAATATTCTGGGGCGACAAGCTGGCAAGAGAACATTTATTTTATTTATTGGAATTTTTTGGCAGAAATCAAATCGAATGGTTTGTCGTTAGGGGATGGCTCGTAAATTCGTAAATTCGTAAATTCCAGGGGCGGGTTTGGTTCTCTATATTTCGTTTTCTATTTCTATTTTTTTGTGTGCTGCCGGCAGACAGGAGTTGCAATGATTTGTGGCATTTTACAATTTTACAGGCCCAAGGGCCATGCATCATTTGTAGGCCAACTAAGCGTCCTTTAAGGACTATTTTGTGGATGCACTCGAACGAACAATGGAAAGACACTCGGCTCGACTCGACTTGCCTTCTTTTGTGTGGTTTTTCATGAGGACCTCTTGTGCCTGCTGCCTGCTGCATTCTGCATTCGATTTCCATTTCCATTTGGAAGGGGACTGTTTTCGCATTTACCTGCTAAAAATGCTGCTGCTGGGATTTTGACACGTTTTCCGGCGATCTCTACGCTGCAGTTCGCATGCGCAACCCGAAAAACTGACCAGGATCTATTGTCTGTCTATGGTATATACACTTATTTGAGGCCCAAAACAAAGGTGTGATATTTGTTTCTCTTTTGTGTGTGATCAGGGCAATTGGCCCAAGTCAAGATGCGATTTCTGTCTGCCCATTGTTTTCCCAAGGAGATTTGAGGCGTAGACTTCTTGTCAGCGTTGACAATTAGGCATATTCGCCAGTGGTCACAGGACACTCTCGAAAATGTCCTTTGTTTGGGAATCCAATTATGAGGGGGCTTGCTGAAAAATCTGCTAACCGCTGGTCAAGCAGCTGGTTTTTGTAAGGGAAACATCTTGGCCATCGGCACGCGCTTCTTTTATTTTCTTGTGCGGTATTATGTTACAGTAGATTTAGTCCTGTAATCCACAAAAGGTGTTTTGTTAACCACTCAAAGCTAATAAGTAGATGGAGATATGGAAAGTCAACAGAATTTGTCTTCAAACTATAGATACATAAACGATGTTGTGCGGAGTGATAGCACATAATATCAAGTATAGTATGATTATATTTATTCTATGTGTTTTTACACTCCTTTGAGTAATAAACACATTTTATAATATGATATAATATATTTCTAGAAAAGGGTGTTGCTTACACAAAAAAATGTAAAAAAGATTTAAAAATTCATTAATTGTAGTGGTAACTGCATTCAGTATCGAGATATATAACAATCCTTATAGTTTAGGCACCTTCTACCAGTTTTAAATTCACGAAAATCAATGTAAATTCATATTCAAATTAAAGACCTGATTTTACTAATCCCCCCACTAAGCCCAAGTCAAACCCACTTCACTTCAACTCCAAAAACCTAAATCGCCAATTAAAGAAAACATTTCGAGCCGAAAGAAGAAGGCGTCAACGACTTTATACACAAATACCTATTGGTGTATTTATGGGAGGTTTAGTTTTTTCCAATCTTTCAATTTTCTTGTGAATTATTAATGAAAAATCTTTTATTGAAATATGTATATATGTTTTTTATAGCTGCTTCGCAGGCATAAGACATTTAAACGCTTAAATATTTATGCCTTTTTTATATCTCTTTCTCCGACTACCTAAGAGCAGGGAAAAAAAAGAAAAAAGACTCCATCTCCATATCCATACATTGTTGAATATTCATAAGGCAGCGCCTAGTGGCGTCATTTTCGGATTTGGCTCCGGAAGATATAGTGGAGGGGATATTATTAAGATGGAGAGGGGGCGGGACAAGATCGGTGATGTCAAAAAAAGGTCTCTGGCTTAGAGAATCCCCTTATGTTGGCGGCTCACAATTGTTGACATTTGATTTCTGGACTTATCTCCCACCAATTGATAGTTATCCAAATATTTTCTGGCCAGAGAAATCGAACGATTAAATGTATAACGCAGAGCAATAAGCGTCAGCACCTTGTCCAATTTGCTATGGTAATGAAAATTATACTCGACGAACAAAGCCATGGCAAATCGATCATCGATCGGCGAGCATAAATCATGATCGATTCTCTGCAGACTCATGGCAAATATTTTTCAAAAATCCTGTGGGTGGTTCAAACATACAACGAAAAAAAATATAAAAAAAAAAAACAAAGCAAAAAGCCCTCGCACAGCGGGTGCAAAAATCGATTAAACGTTTTTCAGGGGGGATCAAATAAAATCAAAATGTGTTGTTGAATGAACATGGAATTGAGCAACATCATCTAGGCGACACGATCAATGCAACATCTTGAAGGAAAAATATGTTTTTTGGGGTTTGGTTGCATAGCCTTCATTTCACAGCCAATATTTGAGTATTCGTAGTCCCCAAAAAAGTGTGGGTTTATTTTTCGAGTGTTTTCGAAGGGAACCCCACTGTGCGATTTGTGTGCTTTTCATATTCACCGCTCTGTGTCGTCTCCGTTTTGGAAACTCATCGTTTTCCAGCGGTTATTAGTGTGCTGGCTTTTTTCGAATTGAATTGGAACTGTTTTGCTCTGGTTTTTGTCTTAGCTGCGGCTCACTCTTTATTCCTAATGGTCGCCTGTTGCGTTTTCTGGCCCAAAATGCTCGCAGCGGGCCAAGAAACTCTACACAAAAAGCTGTTTTTGTGGGTCACTCGGGGTCGCAGTCTTACATGTCCAGCAATTAAAAAGGAAAGCAAGTAGGTAATTTCGAGTGGGTGTGCAAACAGGGCTGGCAAACACCTAGAATACGGGTACAGAATGTAGTTCATATACCATCTTAAGTTACTTAAAAAATAAATGTTGCTTTAAAAACAAATTTTTGTATGATTAAAGACTAATGCCTTGTTTACATTCTACAATGTATTTTATGCTTTATGATATTTCAATTATAATTTAATACTATTGAAGAGGCTCTCAAAGATACACTTATTTTTCGTTATGTTTATTTTCTCAAGAGAAATAATGTTTATTTGGATAAAAACGTTCTTGTTAATTTAAATTTACAAATGCTAAAATTTCTTTTATGCAATATTTTTGTAGCATTTTAGTATTACTTAAGAAGATCCCAAAGACACAAATATTGTTTTTACTATATATATAACAATTGTGGAGGTATTTACAGCAGTAAACCTCCCAAATATTTTTTTATGAACCCGTGGGAACTTGACCTCTCATTATATGGCCCTTCCACTTGCTTACAAAAACCTATTATATATTTACTTAAATAAAAAAAGTCCAACTCACCTTCATTTTAATTGCCTCCACAATTTTGGCGGTTTTTAATCCAAGTCTTTTGCACGAAATTCTGTCGCCAGCTTTAGCCTGGGAATCGAACCCGATCGCAGCCAGGTTATATAGATGATATATAATAGAAAACAACGAAGACAGCGACGACGACGACTTGATCAGTTTGTCAAGCGTCCCACAAAAGCCGCCGTCTGCATGCGATATATTATTTGTATTATGTAATATAATTCTTCACCAGCTATTAATAAGCAGTATAAATTCGTATATCCGAGATCGAGATGTTTGATCAATTTGCAAGCGTTTGCAACATTTTTCGCTTTTCAATTAGCACATTCGATGTGCACAGTACACTTTTGGCCGACGGCGAATGTTTCGGTGTAGTATATATCGTAGAACCTTATCAATAAACACGCGATAACACGTTTTCAGTATCGCGATTCTCGGGAGAGTTTCAATATCAGCTTTAGTGGCGGAGCGGACGCGAGATGTTGTTACAGCTTCGAGGCCACTGCGTTGACTGCCGGCTCAGGGATCTGGTGGCTGAAACTGCCTCGGTTCCATATGCTAGTATAGCTTATAGCCTATGGCACCACCACCACCACGCTCTCAGGTAAAGTAAGTAAGCCACAACCACCACCAGTCTCAGCTGAAACTCGACTCGGGAACCCGCTCAACTGGTTTTCTTGTTTGAGCGCAACCAGCTGTCGCCGGCGCAACGGGAATGGTGGTGATTGGCCCGCCTGGCCACGCCCCCTTTGACTGGGAGAACGAGTTCTCGACTGGCGTCCCCCATTTTGAGTGGTTTTTGCGGCCCCTGGTCTTACTTTGCACCAATTGAGTGCGCCGGCGCGTGCCAAGTTGGCCACTTGAAGTGAGTGCGATTTGGAGTGGAATCGCCAGTGGAAATGGGTGGGTGTTGCTCTGGTGACGAAGTGTTGCTGTTGTCGCAGGGAGTTTGTCTCTAGTTGCTGCTACTTTTGGGGCCCGTGTTGCTGTTGTCACCAATGCTCTTGCTTTTTCCACTGATATTGATGTTGTTGCTGCTGTTTTTGGGGCTGGTGTTGTCTTTGCTTTTTCTTTTAATATTGCTGTTGCTGCTGTGTATTTGTTATTGCTGCTGGTGTCACTACTTTTGTAGCTTTTTCTAATTGGTGTTGCTGTTGTTTCCGTGACTTTTTCCCATGTTGCTGGCGTTTTTGAAACTAGTGTTGCTGTTGTCACTGCTTATTCTACTGATATTGCTGTTGTTGCAAAGATTATTTTCCATGTTGCTGCTATTTTGCTGTTGCTGTTGTTTCCGTGAATATTTTCATTGCTGCTGTTTTAGAGGAAAGTGTTGCTGTTGTCACAGATTTCATAGCTTTTTCTATCATTTGACTGCTGTATTATACTGATATTGCTCTTGATGTTGCTGCTGTATTTAAGGCTGTTATTGGTATTGTCACTATATTTCCAGCTTTTGCTGCTGCAAAGTCACTGGTAGTCACTGATATTCACTGATTTCCTTACTGATATTGATGCTGTAGCTGATTCTTTTTATTTATGTTGATGTTGTTGCTGATGTTGCTGCTTTTACGTTTGTTGTTGCTGTCTGTGTGGATGAAATGCAGGAAAAAAAGGGGCAAACAGGAAAACGGAACTCGAACTCTGCCGCACTTGACTTTTTTGGGGTCAAACCGCTTGATGGAGGGGAAGTGAGTTGCCAGTTAATTTTGGCCTTGCTCTCTTTTTGGTTAAATGTTTTTTAACCCATTTGCCTGTTTCTGATGGCATGCCAAACATAAAAGGCAAACGTCTGCCCAAAAAAAAAAAACATTTTAAAATACCAAAAAAAAATTGGATTTAAAATTAGAAGTATGCATTTACGCTTTATAAAAACACCCAAAAAAAACTGTTGTTACATGAATTTTGGAACTATTGGTTATGGAAAATTTCTCATAAGATGCGTATTAAAATAGTACCTCGTTAGTTGCTGCTAAATTACTGCTTAAGTTACAGCAGCAGCAACTATAGTAACCATTTTGATCTCGTCTATATCCTTTGATTTAAGCCAGAGTTTAAGCATTGTGCTTAGCCTACCCCTTTCCTCGCTGGATTTTCTTTGACTTTTCAAGCTGCGACTACTTTTCCCATTACTTTGTGCCATTTTTCATTCACTGTCTCTTTGGTCGTGGGCTGTCTTTTAAAGCCGCTTGGCATTCAATTGGCATTTGGCTGTCGCCATCACCCGCCGCCTCCCCCTCCGGTTTCGGCCCCCCTCATTTTTTTGCCACTTTTTCTGCGCTTTTTGCCTTGCTCACGTTATTTAAGGATTAACATCATTTTATGCTGCCTCGCAATGCCTTTTTTGCAGGATTAAATGCTGCCGACTGCTGCACTTATAAAATCATGTTGCATAAATTCTTTTATTCTTAAAAAAAAATATAATTATCATACTGTATAGCGAATAAAATATATCCGGAAAATTCGAAACAAAAGATTTAGAAGTAAGATGCATAAAAAGCAATAGATTTCTTCATATATTCTAAAGTGGAGCTTTTAACAACACATTAAATATCTTACAAATTTTAAAATAAAACATACATATTTAAAAGATTTGGTTTTTTAATAAGTTTTCCCTGGTTTGGCTAATAGCTCTTACATAAAGTTATAGATCTCAAATAATTTAAATAAATTTGTATGTGATAAAAAGAAAAAAATTGCTTAACATCTAACACTAAATAGTTAATACTATAACCATTTTTAGATTTAAATAAATAATGATGATCTCAAGCACTTTAAATATAACTATATAACAAATTTAAAACATCTAAATATATATATATATATATATATATATATATATATATATATATATATATAATATAATACAAATATCGATATAGTTTCACTCATTTATTATGAATTTAAAATATTAAATTTTAATCACTTTTCTTTGAGTGTAAAGGGGCCACTCCCCCCGCCTACCGGGTGTTCAGCTCTCTTTTCTCCCCTTTGAATTGATTGCATTGCACTTTTTCCCCGCTGTTGTTGTTGCATAGTTTGCACTGATGCGCCGCCTCCATTCCTACAAAGTGATTTTTATGGCTTTCAGTCAGTGTGTGTGTGTGCTTTGGTGTGTGTGTGAATGCAAATGTTTGCATTCGAGTGCGTGTGTGAGTGCACTTTGATGTTTCCGCGTTACAAAGGCGGCACTTTAATAGCGATGCATTTATCAAAAGGCAGCCAAAAGTCCGACAGCAGCTGGTAGCTTTAACACGCATACGCCCCGTGGGGTGCCGCAAGTAAAACGGCTTACAAGAGACTATAATATCAAAACCACCTTAAAACACCTATAAATGTTAGGAGAAAGACTTACTTCCGGTTCTGCAAATAAAGAATAGCTTAGTTAGCATGAACTTAAAGTGCAAACAACAATATGTTTAGGTAATACCAGTAAAAATAGAGATGTTGATTACCTTTTTGTTGATGTATAAATTTATTAATATTGGATATCAACAGCTTAGTTATCAGGAGTCCGAAAAGGTTATTGTTTTGGTTGTGTGTTGTATATTGGCCGAAATATTTGTCATTCTGCTAAAGTCTTTAGCACGGAACTCCGAAAAATACGCACTTTGTTTTGGCCAAAACGCAAGGATAACGTGGCCCAAACATAGAATGCCATTCCTGATTGAACTCGTAAAAAGATCCTCCATCGATTGGCAATCCAAACTAAAACTTTTTTTTCAGCAAAAAATCGAAAAATGTAATGTTGGTTTGATCGATTTTCGGAGTAAAAGTTGATTGATCGGGATCGGAAAAAAAAGGTATGGGGATCGTTAGCTTAGCCCGTTAGCATTCAAAAATGGCAAAAGTTAATGACTCAATCTGTGACCTAGTCTACCATAAATAATATTGAATATATAAAATATATATTACATCCTTAATCCTTGTGACCGATACAAAGATTAAATATTTGTACCCATATCCCTATGAGACAAGTAAAAGTTTTTGAAATACAATATTACAACCTCTTTAGGGTTTATATTTTTTCCTAATATCTTTGACTATCGTCTATTAATCAGCACATTGATGCGCACCCTTTTGCTTATCCTGGGCTCCATCTGGCTTTGAAAAAATAAATAACTCGACCCTAGAGGCTCTAAATTGATTAACAGTAGCCTCGACCAAAAGCAATCGGGTTGGGGATGTGAAAGAGATGCTGTCAACGCTTCGGCGTTCCCGGAATGCCTTCCATTTACATGCCATAATTCTTAAATGTCACCCGTTTACAAAAGCCTTGACCATTTGATTTCGGCCGCCTTCGGTTTGGCCCTCTCGGTCTTGGTCGAACAGGTTGAATCCCCAGGTAGATTTCCATCCGCGAACCCTAAATGAACTCATCCTTTTCATCTCTCCCTTTGTTCGAGTCATAGACCAGCGATATTATATTTATTTGGATCTTTATTGAGCTGTGCAACCTGTCGCGGTTGTTTTTGGGTTTCGGGTTTGGTTTCTATGCCCCGTCCCTCTGGATCTGCCCATTTTGCTGGCAGATTTATGTTCTGGCCTCCAAGCAGATACAGATCGACGAGATACGATCGAAGGGATGGCCAAGAGCAACTCTCTCTATAAGAACAAATACACTGAGATAATAATCAATCAGTTAATCTTTAATTTGTCAAAAAAAATATAGTTATAGTTTTAATAGTTTTAATTCATAAAACTAAAGAAGTTTAATTGTACACTTAAGATTTGTTTTTTTAAGGAAACAATTTTAACTGATTTAACTAAAAAGTCTAAGAATTGGGTTATACTTTTTTTGATTGATTTCACAACTGTTTTCTCTCTGTGTACGTTTTCTTCGATCGTTGAAAATTTCAGGGTAATTTGTTGGGCCCGTTTTCAGATGTTTTTGTTGGTCGTCGGTAGGTTTTCAGGCTGGTTCTTTCCAAAACTGTTGGTGGCATGTTCGATTTTCGGCGGCTACCTTTTTTGACTTTGTGTCGCAGTCGCGCGTGTTATGAAGATGTTAAGATCCCCTGGTCAACCCCTAAAATATGTCTTAATTGTGTGGGGGATATAACCATTTCATAGATAGGTGTATGTACATTCACCTACATTTTATTCCTGACTGTTTGCATAATTCCGGGTCAGTGTCTGTTTGCTCAAGTTATTGGTTTATGGCTGCCGTTTGTGGTAACATGTGCCAAAGGACATCATTTTGTGGTGGTAAACGACTGTCCAATGCGTTCTCATAGCCCATAAATCATTGGCCAAGTTGAGGGAAAATTTATGTTTAACGTCCGGAGGGAAAGATAAAACCATAGGAAAAACATTGTCATATTTTCCTTAATATTTCACTTAAATAAATAATTTTTGGGTTAGGTTAGGAATTTAAGGGCTTTTTACACTGGTAAAATAAACGAAGTAAGTCCAAATATTGGAATTGTAATATTTTTCACTTTGGTTTTTAGTTATTTTAAACAAAAAAATATTAACAATTCTTTAAAATGTTTAATATTATTATTTTCGGAATTGATTTTAATATCTGAAAATTTAAACCATATTTAACTAAGAACTAT